CCAAAGCATTGACAGAAATCTGAAACCCATAAAGATTCAAAGTATGAATATTCCTACATGTAAGAATTATTTGTTGATACATACTGAATGGTAGCTCTCCCCTTAAACTCAGTGACTGTACATGTGGGCGGCATGTTTGTAAAGCTGACTTGATTAATGGAGCATTTGTCTTATGATATGCATCATCAATGACAACATTTCTCCACAAAAAAGGATCAGAACATATCGTGTAGAGTCTTCTATTGACTAATCTAAGGGACATCCTATCTCTGAGTGAGAGCATCATGCATATCTCTTGTATTACCTCATTTGGCAGGGAATCAAATGGGTTAGTATATTCCTCATCTTCATAATCATCTATCAAATGAAGCTGATCAGTGGATTGATTGATAGGAGGTTCTGAGTGGTAGAAATCATCATCAGACTCGCCATCAAAGGAAGAAATATCAAATTTAAGTCTTTTACAGCAAGGCTCAGCTTCAGCCATTGTATGATATGGATTTCTATAGTCGAAACAGTGCCTGACCTGACACACGTGAATACACATGTACATTCACGTGATTGCACGTGTGTACCGTATAGCTTCAAATTTTCGTCTGTCAAAAATACTATAATATAACCATAGCATAGATTTAATACACAAATCTATGAAACTATTTGGATCTCTGCCATTAAGAGAAGCCCCAGGAATGTCCTTCTCTTGTAACTTTGTTGACACAAGATCTTTACTATCAAAACTCTCTGCCATGCATACTAGCAAGTTCCTGCTGCAATAATTACGCACTTGACCGCTTGCCCTCCAGGCCGTATTAAATCTAATGATTCATTATGAAAATGTGCCATTGGCCTTAAAAAATCAGAAATCATTTCAAATCAATATCTAAGCATACTAAAAACTAATAAACGACTAATAAAAACAAGAAATCACAGAAGAATTTTTTGATGTCAATTCAAATTAAAGAATAATAATAACAAATAATAAAATGGTGTTCCTATGATTTAGAGTGTTGGCCTCTCTTGCCGTTTTCATCTTTAGTAGGCGATTCTTTCAGTGTTATCCTCATTGAGCCTTTTTCATCCACTATGATGATAATAATACAATAAGTCAACTATTAAGTTATAACAACAATAGTCTGACCTTCTTGTTTAATATCAAAATAAATCCTCTTGTTAATACCTTTTAAGGACTATAATAAAAAATGAACAGTTTATTGACTAATTAACACTTTACTAACGAGATTATCCATGGGAACCAGTTTTCCATATCTGTCCTCTACAAGAAGTGCAGTGATTCTTGACGGAGGTATTGAAAGCCCTCTAGCGATCCATGTTTTTAGGAAGTCGCATGTGGGTTTTTCCACCAAAATAGGAAGGTACTCTATCAAAAAAATTAATGTGTGAACAGTCTGAACACAAAAAAATAATAAAATATAAAATTAGTGTCAATAATTAGGACAGCAAAAAAACTCTAAAAAATAAAGAATAATCATACAATACCTGTGCCTTCTTGCAGTGATATGTATATCCTATTCAAAGACAAACCTGGATATGAAATGGTAATTAATTAAGGAACACAAACCCTTTATTAAGTGAATTGTACAGTCTGACTCCATGAACAGGGCCACACAAATTAAATATATCTTCACGACTGAAATCCGCAAGCTCAGAGCCTGTATATACATTGAGGCAACAATTATAGTAAGCAATGCGTTAGTATGCAGCTGTTAAGATGTATTATTATAGTATTTATATGATGTACATACTCACCTGTACAACCCTCAAATAGCTCAGCATCAAACCTGTTTTCAAGCAGCCATTGCTTTGTGTCATTGACATTAGAACATGAACAAAAGAACATGTATGTATATCAGAAAAAATTATAAAAATTGAAAATTCTCTCCTAGTCATTTTTGGCAAAATTGGGCCAAAATCACTGTACTACAGTAAAGGGTCTTTGGCTTGGTCTTGGAATAACTTTAAAAATTCGCAAAAAATTGAATTTTAATTGGAATCAGGTTAAACTTTCTACACAACATAAGGACATTTATGCGTATCAGAAAAAAATATAAAAATTAAAAATTCTCTCTTAGCCATTTTTGGCAAAATATTTTGAAGTAACTTTTAAAATTTGCAAAAAATTCAATTTTGATCAGAATCAGTTCAAACTTTCCACACAATATAAGAACATTTGTGTATCAGGAAAAAAATATAAAAATTTAAAATTCTCTCATAGCTATTTTTGGCAAAATTCCCTGCAAAAAGTCTTTGGCCCAATTTTTTAGCAACTCCAATAATTATTTCTTTGAAGAATAAGCTCACTTTGTTCTTCGTCACTGAGTTTTTGTGAAAAGTTCACTTTAATGGTTTCTTCAGCTTGTCTCAATTGATCCTTGTCCCATTCTATATGATCCCTGTGAATGAAGTATAAATAAACTAGAGAGTGGGGAGGCTCACAAACCATGAATTGTGCTGAAACACTTCCTCTGGGTCATCCAAACATCTTTCCCCAAACAAAGGATTTATTTCTTCTTCTTTTCTACCTCCCTCTGCCATATTCCTAGTATTCTTAGCCAAGAGAAGAGCAACCACTCTAGTCCATAAAAAGCTCTCCAAAAAGCATGACGTCACGTGGTCATCACCACGCTCCTCATTAATTGAGGTGAACGCCCATTTCCCCATGCAGGCCACGGGTGTGGCTCGTGCTACCATAATAAATAAAAGTAACGTGGGTGACCTCAGTCCTCACCTCCATTGAATGACCTTTTGTGTGTTCCTTCCAAACACCAATAGACACTGTATAGAAAGACTACACACGCTGCAGCTAACAATAACTCACAAGACCCACAATGGCAGGCTTAGGAGAAAAGAAAGTCCTCATCAGTGACTCAATTAGCAAAATATGCCAAGAAACACTCACTTCAGCTGGCTTCACAGTCGATTATCGTCCTGGCATCAGCAAGGAAGATCTCATTGCTTGTATTAAGGTACAACCATTGCACTGTACTAATAAAAATCTAATTTTTATTCATTTATGGCAATTAATTATCATAGTGCTAATTAATTTTTTCTGCAGGACTACGATGGCCTCATAGTTAGATCAGGTACTAAAGTTACTAAAGAGGTCCTTGAGGCAGGAGCTGGACGACTCAAAGCAGTTGGTAGAGCAGGGACTGGTGTCGATAATATTGACATACCTGTAGCCAGTGAAAAAGGAATAGCAGTCATCAAGTATGCAATATCTGAGTTGCTTGCATGCTGGATTCAACATTATGCTTCTATATATTTTATTATTTTTGTAGTACTCCATCAGGAAACAGCATTAGTGCAGCAGAGCATACTTGTGCCATGATCCTTGCAACAGCCAGAAACATACCCCAGGGACACTTTAGTGTAAAGAATGGTAAATGGGAGCGAAGCAAAGTAAGCACCTAATGTTCCGTTGTGCAGCATATTTATTATATAGTTATAGTTTATGGGAGTTGAAGTCCAGGGAAAGACTCTAGCTATCATTGGCTTGGGCCGAATTGGTCGTGAAGTAGCAACAAGAATGCAGTCCTTTGGAATGAAGGTAAGAGAGACGGGGGAGGGGGGGGAATGCAGACATATTCAATTCACACCTATTTGAGTTACATATACACCTACCTGCCCTACTGTAGACAATTGGGTTCGACCCATTAGTACCAGCAGACGAGGCAGCCAAGTTTGGAGTAGAGTGGATGGAAACTGCAAATATTTGGCCACTAGCTGACTTCATAACTGTACACACTCCACTCATACCTGCCACTAAAGGTAAACTAATGTTATGTAACTCGTGCATTATAGAGCAATCGTAGGCCTTCTCAATGACACTTCATTTGGTCAATGCAAGAAAGGAGTAAGAGTTGTTAATGTGGCTCGTGGTGGTATAATAGATGAAGCTGCTCTAGTCCGTGCACTACAGTCAGGTCAATGTGGAGGAGCTGCATTAGACGTGTACAGCACTGAACCACCTACCAGTAATGGGCTGGAGGACCTAGTGAAGGAGGAGAAGGTCGTATGCACTCCTCATTTGGGGGCCAGCACTGTTGAGGCTCAAGTCAAAGTGGCTGAAGAGGTTGCTAATGAATTTATAGCAATGGCTGAAGGAAGGACTGTTAATGGACTGGTGAGGACTTATTATGATTATTGTATATTAGCTATTTCTTTCTCTTGTAGCTTAATGGCAAGGCACTTAAGAAATAATTGGAGATAGTTTTGGCTTTTAGCTACCGAACTAATTTGATTATTAATTTTATTATTTATTAGTGTGACTCTGATTTGACTTAAGAAGGGGTTAGCTTTCTCAAAAACTAATTATGACATGCAGCGGCAGTCATAATAATAATAGTAACATGATTAATCACGCACACACACAGTACTAGTTTCAATAATAGTTAGAGGTCATCATCATCATCATCTTGAAACTGCAACTGATTAGCAATACTCAATGGGTTTTCAGTGGCCCTACCCACTTGACCACACCTACAGCCACAATACTTGTTAAAGACCTTTGCTGGATGATGAAAGAAGTGTCCTCTGGCCCTTCGCACGTAACAGCAATAAAACACCCAACCCATAAAGACACTGCAGAATGATATGATGGTCAGATATGGGAATTCACTTGGGCGCGGTGCTGCTATTACCATTACATAATGTAACATGTCCATGTTTGAGTTCATAGCATTCATGACACCCGAGACAACACCTCTTTCCTCAACAACTACTTTCTCCTGAATGAGCTGCCAGATGGAGAGGTCAAACATCCAAAGGCCAAAGCGTGCCCCTGTTACACCCACCAGTATTAGAATGATTGATAAATTAACATCGAATCCTCCATTACTACCTTCAGCTGGTGGGGTGATAGAGGGAGAGGGAGATGCTTCACTATACAATGATAATGAAGGGGAGGGATAAATCAAACTGGAGTATGGAATAGTCGAGGTTGGAGATAATGTGCCGCCGCTATCTTCAGAGCTGCAGTTTGGTGAATAATAGCCTATACCAGTATCAGAGGTTGGCTTCCCTGGAGAAAACACTCCAGCAACACAAAACAAAAGCATCACTAATTGAGAGGATATTCCAAACAGGCCAGTACGTACAGAACCCACTTTACGTTGAAGGTATGGGTAGAGGAGGGTACCAAGTATACCTACTATACCTCCCAGGCCTTGAGCTAGTCCAATATAATCACTACTGAGTCCTTGAGTCAGTAGATAAGTGGCAGTGACTCCACTAAAACCAAGTACAGTGAGATATAATGAAGCTAACGAAAAACCTATCAGATTAGTCTCTTGTTTCCAGTAAATATGCCAGCCAGTTATCAGGGTACGATAAGGTGAAGCAAGCTTCTTTAATACTTTAAAACCTTTTCCAGTCCTTGATGGAAACCTTACTACTTCCTCTCCATCCTTCTCATTGTTTTTGCCTCTCAGCTTCTTATCAGCAAGAGCAGGTACCATTTTATACACAGCAATCATAAGCAAGAGTTCACCAAAGAAAGACACAACGTTCCAATGCCCAATGATTACAGTAGCAGCATACCCTCCAGCAAGATCATAGCGGATATATGGGACTATTGAATGAGTATGAGTTAGAAGAACACCAGCAACAATAGGAGCCAAGAGTTTACACAACAGATCGATCCTTCGCATGTTTGCATTCAACACTACACAAAAGAACGGACATAAGACACATGTCATACATGGTGTATAAATACATGCATACCTGCTAGTGTTTTACTATTGTCATCAGCAATCACCACCACCCAGTCCTTCTCTACAGCAATGGTGTTAGCAACTGTTGCTAGGTTAGATATTGAGCCACTAAGTATCACAAGGATCATAAGGGAGCCAAATATGATGGCATGGCCACAGACGTCCCATTGAAAATAAAACATGACAGAAAATAGTACAGTACTAAAGAAAACAAATCCATTCTGTACTAAAAGAGTGACCCATATAACTAAAGAGAGAAAAAAAAGATAAGTGTTAGTTTTTTAAAAGAGAATTTTAATTACCTCTCAATCTTGGGTTAGTGTCCACATAGTCCCCAACAATAGTCCCAAAGATTGTTTCAAAGAGTTTAATAACAAAGCCATAAATACCAGGCATAAGAAGTGAGCCAGGATAAAGGAGAATAACTACTAGTGAGTTGGCAAAATTCCACATCCTGTCACCCTACGACAAAGCAAGAGACATCAATTTAGAGTATTATTACTTATGATACTAACCCATGCTGAAAATATGTGACTTGTGTACAAAAGCAATAAAATAAGACATGATCTTCTCCTAGTCAGCTTGATTTGTCCAGATTCAGTTGTGAGAATAGGAAAAATAAGATCTAATGACAATTAAAAAGGATATTCTAAATGGTCTTGTTATTCCTAATAGCTGCTGATGCAACTAGAATTTTTGTGGTCAAAATTTCTGAATTTTGAGAAAACCCCTGAGAAAACTGACACAAAGCTACAAAATAGTATCGCTTGGTTTGTTTTAACACCTAATGTTGCCACTAGTAGATAGCTGTTAAATTATAGGGAGAACTAGGCTTTCTAATAACTGAACCTGTGAAAGTTTGACATGTGTTATACATAATTATGCTCGTTTAGATCTGGCAGTTTGTCTTGTCTCAAAACTGCAGTCTTACCCAACATCCCGCCTAAACATCTTTTCTTTACAGGTTCTGCTGGGCCTTCTTCTGTTTCATCTACTTCGTCGTTTTCATGATCATCAACTTGCAGGAGCTCCTCCTGTTCAGCCATCTTGAGTAACAGAATTAAGATTTAATTTATTAATAAGGTTTGTAGTTCCCGATAGAGAAACCTTTATCATCACCTGTATAAACATGCATGTATTATGTACGCAATTTATACAGGTGATGATAAAAGGTCTGAACAAGATTAGATCTAGTTGATTATGCCAAGACAATTTAATCATTTTGAGGTGAAATTTCGAATTTACAAATTTTAGGTGAATTGCATTGTCACCTACTTTGAGGTGCAAAGTATCAAAGTTTTGGGAGAGAATTGTGCTACTGTCTCAGTAGTCTTGCGCAGCCAGACACAACCCCTTTTTGACATTTGGACAACGGGGTTTCATAAAGGGATCAAAAAGGGGTTGGGTCTGACTACATGAGACTACTGTCTCAGCAGCTTAGCATTAGTCTGACACTTTCAAAAGAGTGGTAGATGGTAATGCAGCTCTATTTAGAACAATTTTTTTTAAAAACTTTAGGCATGCAGTAGAAATCACAACAATATTAAAGGTCATCGTCTTTTTCTTTGTCACCATCGTTCTTAAGCTGCAAGTGATTCGCAACACTCAAAGGCTTTTTACTCGTCTCATCAACTTGATCACAACAACGACAACAGGAATACTCGGCAGGATTATGAAACAAGTGTCCTCTGACACGCCGCAGGTAGCAGCAATAAAGGATCCAGCCCACAAAAATACTGAAAAACGATATGATGGTCAGATATGGGAATTCACTTGGCCGTGGTGCTGCTATTACCATTACATAATGTAACATGTCCATGTTTGAGTTCAAAGCGTTTATGACACCCGAGACAACACCTCTTTCCTCAACAACTACTTTCTCTTGGACGAGCTGCCAGATGGAGAGGTCAAACATCCAAAGGCCAAAGCGTGCCCCTATTACACCCACCAGTATTAGAATGATTGATATATTAATATTGAATCCTCCATTACTACCTTCAGCTGGTGGGGTAACAGAGGGAGAGGGAGATGCTTCACTATACAATGATAATGAAGGAGAGGGATAAATCAAACTGGAGTATAGAGCAGTTGAACTTGGAGATATTGTGCTGCTATTTCCAGAGCAGTTTGGTGAATAATAGCCTATACCAGTATCAGAGGTTGGCTTCCCTGGAGAAAACACTCCAACAACACAAAACAGAAGCATCACTATTTGAAACGTTATTCCAAACAGGCCAGTACGTACAGTACCTATCCTACGTTGAAGTAATGGATAGAAGATTGTACCAAGTATGCCAAAAAGACCTCCCAGGCCTTGAGCTAGTCCAATGTAATCAGTACTGAGTCCTTGAGTCAGTAGATAAGTGGCAGTGACTCCACTAAAACCAAGTACAGTGAGAAATATTGAAGCTAACGAAAAGCCTGCCAGGTTAGTCTCTTGTTTCCAGTAAATATGCCAGCCAGCTATTAGGGTACGATAAGGTGAAGCAAGCTTCTTTAACAGTTTAATGCATTTTGATGAAGATCCCTCCCCATTCTCCTTCTTGTCTTTGTCTCTTAGCTTCTTGTCAGCAAGAGAGGGGATCAATTTATACACAATAGTCAGAAGTGAGAGCTCGCCAAAGTAAGACACAATGTTCCAAAGCCCAATGATTACAGTAGCAGCAAATCCTCCAGCAAGATCATAGCGGATGAACGGGACTAAGGAGTGAGTATGAGATAGAAGAAGACCAGCAACAACAGGAGCAAAGAGTTTACACAATAGATCAATCCTTCGCAAGTTTGCATTCAGCACTACACAAAAGAACAAACATAAGACATATTTGATGTATGACATGATAATTGTATACATACAAGCTAAAGTTTTATTGTTGTAATCAGCAATCACCACCACCCAGTCTTTCTCAATAGCAATGGTGTTACCAATTGTTGCTAGACTAGATATTGAGGAGCTAAGCAGCACAATGGCTATAAGGGAGCCAAATATGATGGTATGACCACAGACGTCCCATTGAAAATAAAACATGACAGAAAATAGTATAGTACTAAGGAGAACAAATCCATTCTGTACTATAAGACAGACCCATATAACTAAAAAATGCAATATTTGGATTTCAAAGAAAATTTGAGGTTGCTGTAAAAGTTATGAATTACCTCTCAATCTTGGGTTAGTGTCTACATAGTCCCCAACAATAGTCCCAAATATTGCTTGAAGTAGTCTTGTAGAGAAGCCATACACGCCAGGCATAAGAAGTGAGCCAGGATAAAGGAGAACAACTACTAGTGAGTTGGCAAAATTCCACATTCTGTCACTCTGAAGGATATATGAATACGAGAGAATAAAAATGTGCAGCAGAATTCATGATACTAACCCAAGCTGAAAATATGCGACTGCTGTAGAACAGCAATAAAATAAGACATGATCTTTTCCTGGTCAGCTTGACTTGTCCATATTCACTTGTGAGAATGGGGAAAATAACATCTGATGATAATAATAATTAAATTAAAGTAGATCTATTATGACTCATAATTAAAAAATAGGCTATCTAGGATCTTGCAACTTACCAATAATCCAGCTCAAGCATCCTTTCTTAACAGGTTCTTTTGCTGGGGTTTCTCCTATTTCGTGTAATTCATTACTTTCATGTAATTTATTGCTTTCATGCTCTTCTTTTTCACGTTTTCGCAAGAGCTCCTCCTTTTCAGCCACCTTTTTAGAACGCCACCCATGCAACCTCATCCTAAAAATAATTTATGCAATAAAATTTTGCTTTGCAATTTTCCGCCCTGCCCGCCCTGCCCATTATGAAGGTGCTCATACTTGCTGCAGGTTATGGGACAAGATTAGCTAGAGATTTAGAGCAGTCCGACCAATATCAAGAGCTCAGAGGTCTCCCAAAGCCACTGCTGCCCATCGGCGGAATTCCACTAATATCTAGATGGATGAAATTATTGGAAGCTTGCCCTCAGACTTTTGGCTGTGAAGTGTTTGTGGTAGTCAATAATAGTAATCAGGAGTACTTTAATAGATGGTCAAAAGACTACCCCCGGGTCCAGCTAGTGAGTGATGGTACCAAATGCAATGAGGAGAGGCTGGGAGCTGTTGCTTGTATCGGTCTAGCTGTGAGACATTTCAAAATCAATGACGATCTAATTGTTATTGGGGGGTATGTCAAAATTATCATGAAGAATGGCCTCACTCTCCTTATGATCTGTTTATAGTGACACTTTATTTTTTGATGACTTCAGTCTATCTGAGATGGTTAAACGTTTCAAGGGGCCAGCAATGCAAGAGGGTGGTACATTGGTTACCTGCTGCACGTGCAAAGATGAAGGTTGGCATACATAATGTACATTTTGTTTATTGGACAGTTTATCTAAAAGTGCATGCAATACAAAATGCCATTGATTATAAAGGCAATAATTAAATTAAAATCTACTATACAAGATAATTTATTGGTGAGAATAATATTTGACAAATTTGCCTATGGAAAATCAATTAGCGAATTTTATATTGGTGATTTTATGCCATGTGCCATTAAGTATGCTCAGATTCAAACAAAATGGCCGAGTTTATATTGGCGATCTCTTCATAGAATCGCCAATCACCAATATTAGTTCTTCACCAATAAATCATCTTGTATGGTAATTCCATTTCAGTATAAAATAGTGTACAAAACGTCAAACAATGTGACATGCACTGTCAAGTGATGCATGCTTTTTTACTATTAAAGATATAGCATTCATACACTGTAGCATTCATGGATTGTAGATTTTTTACATCTTATACAGAGACTACAAAGTTTGGTATTCTTGAAGTTAATGAGATGGGAAGAGCTACGTCATTTCTAGAAAAACCATTGCCAACAGAAACTTCATCTCGCTATTCAGTAATTGTTGCTCCCAAGTTCTTATTATTAAATTTTATTTATTTTGTAGTGCCCTTGCTTTTACATGTTTTCTGCTCCTGTTTTACAATTGATCGAGACATTTTTAGAAGAACATAAAGTAATGTGTAATATATGCACTTTAATATCTCATTATAATTATATTACAGGATGCACCATTAATTAAAAAAGATGCTCCTGGTAATTTTATTAAATATGTAGTTCCAAGGTCAGTTTTGCTAGTGACTTTAATTTTATTATCGTTATTATTTTTAGAGCTCCGATGTACACATTTCCAGTTTCTGGTCGATACGATGTTGGCAATCTTTCAGCTTATATTGAATGTGACAGTCATTTTAAACAGTGAAAGTGCTATAATTATTTATTTAACTTTCAGAAAAAAATAATTAATTTTTGTTGATCAGCGATCACGCCTTGTGCACGTGCGATCGATCATAAATTAATTAGTTGGCCCTGCCTTTGGCACGCCCATCGATCACAGCATTCAGCTCCGCCCTACAGCAGCAAACAACCAAATCGAGATGTTGGCGTCTTCAGAGACGAATCCAAATGCCTATTGGCTCAACAGTCGTGGTATGTGGGCCGGATACACAGCCTCAGTCATCTTCTTGTTCATTCTTGTCAACTGTATTCCCGTAATTAGTATACCAGTCGTGTGGACACTCACGCATGGAATTCACAACATAGTGAGTTGCCTGTCAATCAATATGGCGGCTTATAGCAGTATTTCTTATGAATAGGGAAACTACATAATGTTCCATTACTTAAAAGGTACTCCGTATGCTACGATGGATCAAGGCGAGACGAGTTGGATGACCAATTGGGAGCAGATAGACAATGGAGAGCAGTTCACACCAACACGGAATTTTCTAACAGCTTTCTCAATATTACTGTAACTACACAAATGCATACAATTCAAATGCATACGTACAATTGGGTGATTCCCCTTGTCTCCACCCATGTAACAGGTGTGGCCTATCATTGATTAGACTTGCATTATCTATGCTTGCTTTAAAGAAATGGGTATTACATGTAAATAATTATGTACATTAGTGGCTGTTTTTCAAACTAGCATGTGATTGTGTTAACTGCTTAGTTGCTTATCTTTATAAGGTGTGGGTGGTTGTTCAAAGATTAGTGTTTTTGACAGTAGTCTAATGTATTCATTGCTCCTAAAGCACTACAGTATTGATAAAGTAACACCACTGTGTTGTGACTTGTTCATGAACTGGATTTGATGCTTTTTTGTTAGTGGTGTGTTTCTATACAAAAGTCCATTGTGTTTTGTGATTGATAAAGCTACATTGTTGTGCATTCCTTTTTGACTGTTGATTTAAACTTTAATTTTTTCTCTCTTTAGATTTATTTTGGCCGGTTTCTTTACCATCCAAGACACCACACTGACAGCTATTAATATCGCTATTATGCTGGTCGGAGTCGTCCCTAAACTTCCACTATTCCATGGATTCAGACTAAGTCAACTTTTATCACAAAGCAGCGACAAAGAACAATAATAATAATAATAATAATAAAACATTTAAAAATTATGCGTGTGTGCGAGTGTGTGTGCAATGTACAAGTCTTGTATATACATGCATACATAGACTTATGTTGTAATAATATTAATAATAATAATAATAATAATAATAATAATAATAATGTGATTCTTTAATGCAAGGACACTGACTGAATCACAGACCCACCACAACACCAGTTATATAATCAAGTACGAAATCACTCTATAAAATACTAAACATGTACAGAGTATAACAGTTTAGCTGTCTTCATCATCAAAGAAGACCGTAGGAGCCAATCTTACATACGTGCTCCTACTACGACCTTTCTTCTTGCAGCAGTAGCAGAAGAGGAGCATAATGAGGACAGTGATGAGTGCAGTGCAGGGTATCGACACGAAAGCAGTGATGAGGACCTTGTCAGTAGCAGAGAGTGAGGGTGAGGGGGCTGGTGTTGACGTGGGCAAAGACGAAGTGGTAGTGGCTGGAGTGAAGGAAGCATGACTTTCCATGGTTGATGTGATCGATAAACTCTCCATTGTTGTTGAAGTTGTTTCAATGGACGGGGTTGATGACGGCAAGGTAAAGGGCGAGAAAGACTCGGTGAAAATGGAAGTAGAGAGCTCACCAGGAGTGGATATGCTTGATGAAGTTGTTAGTGAAGAAAAGACCGGCACAGAAGACCACATGAAACTAGAGCTTGGCTCAGTAGTAACTGTTGATGAATTCATAGACATTGTACTCATCATTGATGTAACATTTGCAGTAGACATTGTAGTCGTCATTGATGTAACATTGGCAGTGGAATTTGTACTAGTTGTAGGCGTAATACTGATAGTACTGTTGATAGTAGGACTAGTACTATTGGGAGCCATAGAAACAGTTGAAGAAGGAGTAATTGTGATTGAACTCGTGTTAGAACTGCTACTAGACAAACAGGCATCCTTTCCATTAAGAGATAAAGTCTAACAAAACACAATAAAAATGATAAAAAATAAAATGACAATAACTCATTCTTACCAGGTTATTCAAGGTTGGATTCCCTGTTACTGTAAAATTACTCGGTGTTGATGGTGAACAGTTTAATGTAATTATAGCAGTTCTATGTAATGATTATGACAACATTGAAACTAGTATTCTAATTAATGACCCACCCTTGTCAAAACAATAATTACTGACCTGTTACTATCACTGAACTTTAAAAGCGTGCTATTTGACTCATTCACTTGTATAGGACCAAACCTAATCACACTGCCAGCAGTGTCATTCAGACACACCTAATAAAAATATAAAATTATCATTTTAATAAATATTTCCAACACACCGATTGATTTGCACAGTCAAAAGATTCAGTTCTATCACAGAAGTAGACAACATATGAGGAACTAGAAAAGAGAAGTCGAGAGAAAGGTTTAATGCTATATATACTTGCTCCTAAAAGCTGCCTTACCCATTAATCGAAACATTAGCCTTTGCCTCAATATCTTTAGTTTCACACTCTTCTAGCCACAATGCTCCCTCTAAAGGGTTAGCTAAGGCAATAAAGATACAAAACAAAGAGAAAAGAGATGACAACATGGTCACTAAACTTAGTTAATTAATTAGCACGAAACCACTCCCTGACACGCCCATAGAATTACGAGGCACAAATTATTAATTAATTCATAAATTATGAATCAATTAATTTTTGTTTCAGCCACACCCATTTCAGAAAATAGAAAAGGTCAGCAGTCATCGGCAATCACTATGAGGGCCTTGTTCTTTCTTGTCCTTGCTGCTTCATTTAGCGTCATAATATCAGAAGATGATGATGATGTATGTAGCCATGGCCGATGCAATGGTAACATTGGATTGGGTGTAGGGCTGGGCACCAGTTTAGTCACAATACTAGTACTCATCGGTATCTGTGTGTCCACTTTGTTCTGGAAGCATCAAGAAAAGAAGAAGAACCACTATGGACCAATCGCTGATCAAATAAACAACGAATAAATGCATTTATTAAAATAGTGTAACCCATAAGTATTGTTTTCTTTTATATTTTAAATTGAGTTTTGTGATGAGTGTAATATGACAAGTCATGTGACTTCCCACAAGTCTTTTATGGAGTAGCCATCAGGGAGTGTCTCCATTGCCAGTCCAATGTGCTCCGAGTAGAATGGCTCACGGTCATGAGACTTGTTGGGATCAGCAAAATAAGCTGAGCATACGTTATTACTCGTTTCAACAATCTCGCTCTCGTCTTCAAAAGGAGCCCCACCCCCTTCCTTCTCATTACTGTCTCCTCCAGTAGTATCACTGGGATCAACCTATTGTCAATGAATTAATGAACTGGTGTAGCATTAGTGAGAAATACCGTATAGGGCATAATGTTCGCAGGATGTAAATTTAGCGGATAAAGTAAATTCTTGAAAATAAAATCAGTGAATATCAATTTAATATGGTAACTGCATGGCACACGTGGTAGAATTCATGAAATTAAAATCCATGAATTGGCATTTTAGTAGATTTCGTGAAATTTGCATCCTGCAAAAATTATGCCCTATACGGTAGGCTCTACTCACTGATTCATCTGTTTCATATTCAACACCAAATATAGGATGAGCACTGAACACCTAACAAGAGAGAGAGAGAGATGATACAATGAATCATGTATACATGTATGTACATGTACTGTACATGTACATGTACAGTGTACATACCCGATACAGGGAGTTTATTTGTTGCAAAGTTGATCTGAGTTTCTCCTGCGGGTCAATACGAAAGCCAAGCACATATCCTCCGGTCTGCATGAATAGATGTATATTAATAAAACTACATTGTCACTAACATCTTTATGAGTCTCCAAGACAAGAGCTAGACCAAATTTTGACTCTCTCATCTTGATGCTAATCTAAAAAATATGTAGCACAAGTAAAGGAGCAAATAAAAAGGGAGAGAAGAATAAAAGGAAGAGACAAAAACAAATTAAAAAGGGACAAAAGGAGACACTGTATGCACCATATATTTCGCGGGTATAAAATTTTGTGATTTGGCTGCATTTTTTTAATCCACGAATAAAAATTTCATGATTTTAATGTAATCACCACACCTACTATACAATCAGCATGTGCACGCTATTCTGCAGATTTTAATTTTGGGAATTTTTCCAAAAAGCGAAAATCGCAAAAATTTAATCCCCAAAAAACGTATGGTGTATACGGTACCAAATGCAACCAAACTAACTAACTAATTTACTAACCAAATGCAAGTAGGGCACACTGATGTTAAAAGCTTCATTTGTATTTGCATGCCATGCCACACGAACATTTGTGATGTACATTGTACCAAGTGTGCCTTGGCTGCTACACAAGTTCATCACTCCGTTTATCTGTATGATTATAAAATGGATGAAATGTTACATAAACAATTAGCCATGTGATAAAAATAAAATAAAAAACTGACTTTGTCATAAACTTGCTCAAGAGGTAAAACTTTTAGCGTTTGATTATCAATGATAGCTCCTCTTAGCTTTATTTCACGATACAACTTTGATGTCTCGTATGACCTGGATTAAGTTAAAGTGTGAAAGTTAAGAGCAAAAAATTTAATAATACCTATGGACTGCTAGTATCAGAGCAAAGAGTTTCGGTGTGTCAGAAACCTACTCAAATATGAACATCATGGTCATTTGAAATAGCAGCCTCTTACAAGATTTGTGAAAATGAATTCGAATTGAGTCTTCTTGCACTTGGTGAGAATGTAAACAGACTCAGTTTGGCCTCTTAGTTTCTGGAGAAAGAGACATAGGGAGGAGGGAGAGAGTAAATTCTAAGTGTTAAGGATACGAAGAATGACTGACTGAAGTGGCTTTCCTTGCTTTAATCTGAAAAATACACATTAAACCAATTGCTACAAAAGGAAAATAGAAAAGGTTAAAATACAAATTTTCACACCATCATGTTAGTAACACGTATGCAATTGCAAGAGTCTCAGAGTCACATCCTTACAAAGATTAACTGATGGCTTTGCAGTTGATCTCCAAATGATTCTCAAATTAGTCACAGTCAGTTTTCCTATCAATAATACAGGTACATCAAGTGTTATAAATAATAAATTTTGAATTGTCTCAAGCTTTTTGCATGGCATAAAAACATCAATATGCATGCATGTAACTACAGTATGTATTAAAAAAATTATTTAAAAATCAGAGGTGATAAATAAGTGCAGGGGTATTTAAACATGCTTTCAAGTCCTACATGTACACGTGTAACTAAAAGATTTTAGACCAAATCAGCTCCAACTTTCTACATAGCATAAGGACATCAATATGTATCAGAAAATGTAATAAAAATTGAGGGTGATTTCGGAGCCATTTTTTGGGATAAAGCATGGACTATAGTACAGGGTATTTTTCCAAAATTTGTTACTTTTTAAAAATCGCCATAACTCCAAAAATTTCAGTCAGAATTGACTAAAACTTTCTACATAGCATAAGTACATCAATATGCATCAAAAAATGTAATAAAAATTGAGGGTGATTTCGGAGCCATTTTTTGGGAAAAAGCATGGACTATAGTACAGGGTATTTTTCCAAAATTTGCTACTTTTTAAAAAATGGCCATAACTCCAAAAATTTCAGTCAGAATTGACTCATACTTTTTACATAGCATAAGTACATCAATATGTATCAAAAAATGTAATAAAAATTGGGAGTAATTTCAAAACCATTTTTCAGAAAAAACCATGGGCTATAGTACAGGGCACTTACCTGATGCTCCATTGTTTCCCTTAGTATCTTCAACAGCCTCAAACTTTGATATAACAGTCTCACCTGGACGTGGAGCCAAAGCTCTTTAAAATAAAAGAAATAGACCAACAAGAAACATTAGTAGAAATATCATACTTGTCATTGCTATCAAATTTGATGTCTCTGTCTTGCCAGAGACAGAAAGGCTCCTCTTCAAAGGCCTCCATCACTTCTGTTTATCCGTAGCCTGGTTGCATCTAAGCCCCACCCCAGACACGCCCCTTCAAGCATGGCGACACAAGGTCAATGTCTAGTTTCCACCAAAACAGTAGGAGAGCTTTTAATATCTTGCCAAATATATATCTCTCTCGATAGGAAAAGCTCCAATATAATGATAAGATGTACAAGCTAGTCTGCAGCAACTACGGGAACAAGCTTTTTCTATTAATCTCAGACACAAGCCTAAATAAGATGGGGACTTTAGTAAGTGACCCAGCAAACAGAGCCCAACATTTATACCCTTTAATAGCTCCAGGTTAGAAGGCAAGAAATAGGACCAGACCAAACTGATACAACATTCTCTGTTCAAACATTACTGGGACAAGAGCAAGTAGGCCACACCTTTAATAATAACCATTAATTAACTGATAACTCCACCCACACAGGAAGATATCCTAGTATTTGGTAGAGCCATAGGTGGGTATGTATTGGGCCCTGGCTCAGGGGATAAGGCACTGCTGGTTGCTTGTGGTTTTAAGACTGCAGATCCAGCAATGCTGCCATTACTATTGAGAACATTAGATAAGGTGAATGTATGGAATTAAGGTGTGTGTACCTGTGTGCTGATTCAGTGTGCGTGATGTAATTTAATGCAAATATTTGTTGTTAAGAATAATCTTTTTTATCAATAAAACATGCCGTGCCAAGATTGAAGCCAATTAATTAGTGAACTCACTTATTAATAAATAAAATAATAACAATAAGTCAAATTGCATGCACAATTTGATTAAAAATCATAAATGGAGGCTATGCAAGTTTGGAAAAATCGGAGGATTATGTTGTAGAGAAAAGAGTATTCCCGGTCAGTGAAGAAGGTCTTGCTTCAATAGATACTTTGGAGTTACGGAGCTGAGTGAGTACTATATTACCATCAGTCCATCCCTAATAAGAACAAAGAAGATCCTTTTTACAACAACCACTTTCCTGGACATCTAATAATATCACTTAACAAAGTGACAATAATTCCCACTACATGTATATGTTCCTGCTGACCTAGACTAAACAATAATTTGAACTTTCTAACTTGTACTGTTTGAAAGTACACGATGCAAATAAGTACAGTTGAATGAACATACTCTGTGACTGTGTATTATGTATATTAGAGCTGAAATGGATGTGGTATTTCACTATCTGGATATCCTGTTGAAATTTCTTTTGCATATTTGCCGGATAGTTAATTAATAATAGTTAATTAGTGACTGCAGACATCAAAAAGTTTCTATTCCCCGGGATGCTATTCTTGTACATTTCTGGTAGTTAAGAAGCTCAAAAAAGATTTAAAAGTGGCTGAGAAGGTTGGTAGCTTCAAGAGCTTACTCTTTTATTGCCAGTCATTAACTGACGGAAATGCATTAATTAATTATAAAATCTAGTTATTAAGTTTCATTATCTTATTTGTCAATAAATACTATCCAGATACTAAATTAATAAACGGATATCTGGAAAATCATTATGTATTAGTTGATCATTATGTATTATGTATTAATAATGTATTAGTTGAATGAAGAGGTACTACTTACAGATACTAGTATGGACCAGTTCCTAGAGTCACGTTTGAATCCAATCCAAACGGGAGTTTCCCCTTCCACCCACTGAACAAAACCACTACACAGCAAAAAAAAAAAAAAAATAATAATAATAATAATCGAGTGAAGTAAAAGTAAAACTAAAAGAAGATAAGCCAAATGTGAAAAATATTAAACCACAAAGCAACAATTAATAAAAATGATGATTGCAACAATAGTCATAATAACAAGAAGTACAAAGTAACAAGATAAACCCACCCTGGAATGAGGTTAAGGAGTGGCTCGCACTGAGTTCGAAACACAGCAATACGACTAGCTCCAGGACTGTTGGCTATATACAGTGCATTAAAAGATACTAAAAAGAGAGTGCAACGAATGATGGGATTAAACCTGTGAATAGAACAGCCAAACGTTCACCAGTGTGGTCCCATGCCAAACTCTGAACACTACCACCCACTCTAAAGGAGAAAGAGAGAAACAACTTATTAATATTATAAATAAAGATAGTAACAATCACATAGTTTCATAGCTGAACATAATGCAAAAAATGACCATGTGCCTTTCACCATCATAAAAATAAAATAAGTTACTGCCATTTAATTAGACATCCAATATCAATGCCGACACACATACGGTAGTAAATATTAATACACTATGTTTACTAGATGCACTACTGATTTGCCAAGATTGTTCTTTACTTGGAACCAAGTCAGACAACACAAAGGTAATCGGCCCATGTGTATATCAACATGTACATGATCAATCAATTAATTATAAGGTTATAAATACATGTCATATAATGTAATGCAGTTGAATGCTCTGTGAAATAACTAAGGAGGTTTAATAGAGGCATGCAGCAAGTGTTAAGCTAACTGTTGCTTTACCTTGTGACCTCGTCTTCCTCCCCACCTAAACAAACTTCGCTCACATCAGCACATTTGACTGCAGCTTCACTTACACTACTATTATCTTATTAGCAAGAAATAACAATGTCAAAGGGAAGAGCTCAGACATAAAGAAACAAAGCTAACTTACATGTGGAGTCATCCGATGGGAACTTGATGTAATACAACGAAGGGTCACCTTCGACCGAAAATACTAAAATATTACCTTTCGGGCTCCAACAGGAAGCCTTGAGTAAAAGAAACACAAAGTGTATTTGGTGTTTAGACATCAATAAGAGGTAGTGTTGAGGATTTAGATAAACATGAAGTACATGTAACAGAAGGAAAGAGCGATGAAGAGGAAGGGATCAGTAATAAACGGAGACAGAGAGGAAAAGAGAAGGAAAGAGACATAGAGAGGGAAGGTGAGAGGTAACAGATAAGGGGCTTACATTGGAGCGTGATGCAAGTTGAGTCCACGTCTCGCAGGTCCAATGAAGTGTTTCCCAAACACGAAAGAGACTCATATGAGAGACAAGCAATCTACTGCCATCTGATGACCAGCTGACGTGAGATATTCCCCCACCGCCAAAACGCTAAACAAAAAAAGCGCCACAAATAAAGCAGCAATGAAACCAGATACATTTATAATATTTACTTTTAAAGGTGTACTAGTTCTTAAATGAATATCCCATATCAAGAGTGTAGGGTTACAAGGACACCCACAAGCTAAGAACCTTCCCTGGGGACACCAGCTGATAGTGGTAAGGGGCTGTTGCCCAGGGAAACACAATAGGAAAGTTGAGGTGGGTCTGTATAAAGGATAATTAGGAATTAACAAAGCGATTGTGTACCTTAAATTAGGATCGATGTACCACAAAACTAAACCTCCAATAACACCAACAGCCAATACATTACTGTGTGGCCTGTAGCGATGAACAAGAAGAAAAGGGAGAGGGAAAGAGGAAGAGAAAGATATAAAAATAACTTAATTAAAAAAAGGAAGCTAAAAACAAAAGCAACAAAAAGGAAGGAATAGGAAAAAACAAAGACAAGTACAACGTACGCCCACTGCATTGAAGATATACCAAGTTGGTGCTTGTCTTTGAGCGGTCGGTGGAATTGGTGTCTATGAGATGAAAGCGAAACAGTGAAAGAGACTACCCAGCACGAGAAAAGCTAGGACCAAAGGGACTGATAATTAGGCCTAAAACTTACGTGTGTGTGTTTTGAATCAGTATGACATCATCCTACAAACATAAAATTGAAAGTGTACTATTAGTCTAGTGACGCATTATGCGAATGTGTATAAAGTACGCGATATTGTACATGTATGTGCATGTACACCTGTCTCGCTATGGCCATTAATGGTAGGCTACTATGAAGTGAGATTTCCCTTATTATAGAACTGGACCTATGCATAGCAAGAAAAGTAAACAAATGTTGTCTAGTTAAGGAAGGGGGCTAACCACAGCGAGTTTCTGGCATACCGGATGCATAACTGCTCTGCATTGAACTGTAAATTAATGGGAACAGAAATCAGAAGTGGGTAATATGAAAACAATAAATAGGAAATCACCATGACATGTGTCACTTACATTTACATTAGGGGAGAGCCAAGTGTAGAGTCTCTTTAGACAGCTGGTGGCAGCTACCGATGCATAATGACGTCTTGTAATCTCTTCTCCCTCTTCATCCTTTAAAAGGAACTCTAGCACTTTCATTGACCCTTCATCTCTCCTATTAAAAACAAATTCCTCAAATAATAAACACACAAAGCTTATGTATCATCAAGTATGGGTAAAACTATGAGTACTATATTAAATTCATACTAAAATGGCCTGGCACCAAATTAAACCCAAAATGAATGTTTAATACATTAAATGCCATGCTGTTTTCAGCCAGTGCTCTTCAACGTTGACAAAAGGTTGTGAATCAGTGGGAGGAGCAGCGGAGAATGACATCATGGTCGTGTTTTCTCCATCCCCTGATTTGAAATCAATTGTGAGTTTGGGTGGACCCTGTGACATGAAAGGATAATTAGTTAACACTTTTAGATTAATGGGATGAGCCAGCTGTCGGCCCTTTAATGCTTACCTCTAGACCCAGCCGGTCGGCAACCAGAAAGAACTGGTCCTCTGGGGCGTAAATGAATTGACCTGAGGTTTCTCCAACAGTTAAAAGTTCAGAGACTTCGAATCTTTGAAGAGACATAATATCATTCAGTACACGTCGAGGTACACGTGCACTGCAAGTTTTAGGCGTGGCTCTCTAGCCCTATTCTATAAAATTGGCACTTTAGCTCTCTGTTCAGCAGCGTTTTGACTGAGTATGGAAGTTTTGAGTCCTTCAGTAACAAGACAAAAAGGAGTACATCATCATAATTTGGCAATGGCTTCTACCTCCTCCTCTATTCCCAGTGACTCCAGAATTGGACGCGTTGTCAAACGCACAGTGAGGTCTCTACTGGAGAAAGATGGATACAGACAAGAGCAAGCTCTCTCTCTCATTGACCCTGTTGGTCAGTTTGGGGAAGACGAGCTGTTACTGGTAGAGAGAATTGTGAATCTGGTCCTAAGACTAGTGGATGACCCGAGGCAGTCCAGGAGGATAACAGTGGCTGACCTGGAGCAAAATGACTGGCCCCTACAACCAGACAATGTTCATTCAGAATTCAAGACAGTTGCAACACAAATATTCTCAGATGATATTAACTGGGGACGCATCGTTTCTTTCCTCAGCTTCTCATCCACTTATATTTTATTCTCCATGAGACGAGGCATGCCTGAATCGATAGTACAGAGTGTGTGTGGGTGGACCACGAGCTTCATGGAGAGAGAGCTAAGGTCATGGTTCCAATCGCATTCATGGGTAAGCAAAAACAAAGCCAGCAATGATTAATAGTAAATTTGTGTTTGAGCATGTGTGTGTCAGGGTACATTTGTGGTCAGAAGTATGACCTCAATTAAGCATATTTGCAATAGTAAGGTGGTATAATCATATTCAGACTGCATAATTGCAAGCGTGGACACCATAATACTGATGTTCATGGCCATTAAATTTGGTGTCAACAGAAATCAGTGAAATTCCACTCTCAGATAATTGTAGTTGCCTCCCACTTAATTTAGCCTCTTCATGGACACTCCCTAGACTTTGTGTCACGGAAGAAAATATCATTGTATTGTATGCAAAGCATGTTCCGGGAAATCCTTGTAACATTATTTATTTCCTTTATACGTGATGCAAACAAAGTAGTGAGAGCCAGTGATTGTATTATTGCATACAAAACAAAGCAGTGAAACTTATAGCTTGCATTCATTGCATTGCACTAAAAATTTTTTGCTATGGACCACTTAATCTTAGCAACATAATATTGATTGTTATCTAATTTCTGTTACTACAACAAAATTCTCAAGCATCTTATGTATTTCCTGTCATGCTTAATTTCACCTGCTTTATGGACATTTCTTATGCCTAGTGTTGCATCTCTAATTGTACTAGTTTAGACAATGAGGCTCATTCCTAGACTTATTGTCTCTTTTGCCTATTATAGGAAGAATTCCTGTCATATGGAGAAAGTATATTGAAGGCAAGACAAAGAAATGGTGAATCAGAAAGACCGATTTGGCAAAATTTAGCTACAATTGGAGCAATAGGAATAGGAGCTGCAGTATTGTTCTCATTACGGAGTTCATTCTCTTAAAAATGGACACAATATTATTCCTATTGATAATGGACAATGGATTACTAAAATTACCGTTTACACTAACAGAACACAATGATTCCTTCTCTCTTTCTCCCTCTCTCTTCTGTTCCCAATCACAGGTATTACGTGATGAAAAAGAGATAGACTATTGAACAAAAAATTATTACCAAATTATTATTATTATTCTGAATTCAATCCACCACAAATCTAAAATCTCTTGTACATAATTATTTATTATTTATTGAAAAATTTTCTATTTTATTTTTATTATTATTTTAAGACAATCAGTAATCAATGATATGACTTAATCCTAGAGCTATTTTTAGAACTCTATACAGCAAAAAACACAATTAACCTTTAGTACTTTGAACTGACCGGATAGTACCGGTATGCATAGCGCATGTACTATTGAACTATTGCGTTTTAGGATGATGTAATAAATGGGCGTGGCCACCAACAAAGATGTCTCTCCTTCTTTCTAGAAGGGTAGGGTACCTTCTCCCTGGGTTACCGTCAATAGCAACTGGCAATGGACAATGGAGAAGGTTTGAAACGATTCAATAGAAAATTATCTAGTATTTTTAAATCTTTTTAGAGGATTGAACGGCTCCTGTCCTTTCTCAGAGAAGAAGAAAAAATTTTCAGAAAGAAAGATACTAGGGTATATATAAATGTCACGGTTATGTGTTCACACACTAACAAATGTCCTTTAATACATAGCTATACTCAAGAGCAGATATACTCCGTTGTGGCTGACATAGACAAGTATAAACTCTTCTTGCCCTGGTGTAAAGAATCTAAGATACTGAAGAGCAAGCCTGGACACTGCCTGGCTAAGCTAACAGTTGGCTTTCCTCCGCTAGGGGACAGCTATGTATCATCCGTAACCCTCAAACCGTACACTCTGGTCCGGGTAAGGGAATATGAGTCATTTAATAAATATCAAGCTTCTCTTTTGGTGGTTTTAGAGTGTATCAACCAATGGAGTCTTGTTTAATCATTTAGAAACAACGTGGCTCTTTCAGCCAGGACCCAACTATCCAACAGGGCCATCCACAATCACTCATATATCAGTGAGCAAGAATAATATTGTCTGATAATAATTATAGTTTATTCTTTTCTTTCATTAGACCATTTTTGAGTTTAGGTCACTGGTATATGCTACTCTAGCCTCTTCAGTTTTTGACGAGGTAGCAAAAACGCTCGCATCGTCATTTGAGTCTCGGTGCCATAGCCTTTTTGGATCTGACCACCTAAGAACTCCAAATGCTTCAAATAAATATAACATGAACCAAACCAACAGCTGATGCATATACCTCGTTTCAATCAGAATTATTCATTGTCAGCTTTATTTATTTTATTTGTTTATTTATTTACTGTCTGTATAATATTTATTGTGAATTTTACAAGTTTATCTTTCCAGTTATTCCCGCTGTTTATTCATTGTGCATTTTATGTATTTGCTGTGATGTACATTGCACTATAGAAGCTCATTTAAATAATGTTGATTCTTGATCTGGTCTTGGAGGTAGAGGAGGAGGTATTTTGGCAATGATCTCACGAGCGTATTCAGTTGAGAGTAGACCAATGTCCCGTAATGCTTCAGATACTTTAAATCTCTTATCTTCCACTATCTGCATAATTAAATTAATGACAAGTGACATAACAGTACCGTATAGGGGTTATATTTTACTCGAAATAAGTTTTGCTAATTTCGCATTTTCATTAAATTTGCAAAAAAAAATTCCACAAAAAGGGTATAGCACACCAGGAAAAATGGCTGCAGAAGATAAGACTTGTGAAAAATTATACCAAAAAATTAAAAATCTGAACTAATTTATGAAAATTTATACCAACAAAATAAAACCCCTATACGGTATTATGTAAATATTAGGGGCACATGCCTTGTCTGAGGTGAAGGAGTAAAGAGGAAAGAGAGGTTTGGTGATATGGCTCATAGTGTCTTCTGTCTTGAATGAACGAGCTTTACTAGCCTACAGCATGATCAATATCATTAAGTATGAGAGAACTCTTCAATAAATATTATTAACAATAATTATTGTGTAGCAATTATTTATTATTACAGCATTTAGGATTTGGAAATCATAAAAAACTTTAAACTGACCTCGGTCTCTGAGATGAGTCTATCAGTATCAGAAGCTGCTTCAACCCGAACTTGTCTCCTGAGTTTCTCTAATCGTTTTTCTTTCCTCTGATCCTCTTTCTCAAGCTCTTCTCTTAATGCTGCTTGCTCTTGTAACTTAACATCATAGAGATGGCTCCGATACATTGCTCTATAAAAAGGGATTTTAATATAAAAATTATATCTCATATTATATTTAATATAATTAATTAATAATTATATACTATGCATGCAGTCGAATTAGAGTTAAATATGATAATACACATCATTTGACTTAACTAGGATTAAAGCAACAGCAACCCTACACAGTAAGTACTATAGTTACTATCAACTTGCCTTTCTCTATCAATGAGTAGTTGCTTTTTTATTTGTTCTCTAAGAGCCAGTGATCTTTCTTTCTCTTGTTCAATTCTCTCTTGTTTGGCTCCTTCTTGCTCCGAGTGGAACTGTGAAAGCTGCTCCTTTATCACTTTTCTCTTCTCTTTCTCTCTCTTCTCCTCCTCTTCCATTGCGGCTCTTAACTCGTACATGCGTCTTGCAGTCACAGCTGCTTCTTCCTCTTGTCTTGCTAGAATATCCCGTCTCCATTTTGAAACCTAAAACAATTTAATTTTAGTAAAAGTACAATTATGTCTTGTACCAAGTACAGCTCACTGTCATGGACTATAATGAGTATAATTATAAGAAGGAAACAAGTCCAACAAAAATCTGAATTAACGATTTCCTTTTCAAGTGACATGCTAATAAGTGCATGTACACGTACAAGTGATTTACAGTACACAGTACATCATCATCTACATTGGTAATATTCTTTATAATGCAACTAATGATAGGTTACATTATGTACATATTCCTGGTTATATCAGGGGAAGTTCACATGTTCCATGCTTCCTATGTATTTTCATAGCTACAGCTATGCATGTACCCATACAGTCACTCCCTAACCTTTTCAGCTAGTTTCATGCACAGTTGCTGATGGCTAATCTTCTCTTCTTCAAAATGCTTCCTCTCTCTCTGATCCTCAATTGCTTGAGCATAGATTTGCTTTGTTTTAACTATTAGCTCTTTCCTCTTTTCTTTCCACCAGCTAGTCAATAGTCCTAGCTGTTTCTTGTAATACTTTAAAGCACAGTACTGCATTTCATATGATACCTATACATAAAATATAGCTATCAAATCTTCTCCCAACTCTTCTCATTGCATTATATGTACTATGTATATGTGCATGTCTCTCTACTTCCCTTTCCTTACAATTTCTTGTCTTGTTTTGTGTGTCATTTCTTTCATCATTCTATCAATACGGAGTCCTCTTTCATTAGGTGGGTATTGATCAAAAACATGATCAAAGTGTATCTCATCTTCAGATGACCATGACTCATTTCTACAAAGCAAGAAATATGAAGATACAATTATTTCTGAAAGTTCATGTACATATATTGGCTCCAATTTTTCCAATAATACGCCCAGGACCAAGTGAGCTAAACAGCATGGCTTTCAGAGCAACTTTAAAAATTCATAAAAAAAAACCAAACTTGATCAGAATCAGTTCAAACTTTCTACACAAGATAAAATTGAAGAATTCTCTCCTTTTCATTTTTGACAAAATTTCGTCAAAACTCCAGGGTCTTGGGCCCAATTTTTGAGCAACTTTAAAAATTTGTAAAAAATCCAATCTTGATTGGAATTAGCTCAAACTTTGTACAAAACATAAGGACATGTATATGTATCAGAAAAATATAAAATTAAGAATTTTCTCCTTTTCATTTTCAAAGACCATGTACTGCATGTATAAAACTTACAATAGTTTCTCTTTCAGTTGTGAGTCTAGTTTATTAGCTTGAGCCTGATAATGCTCATCAAGACTCTTGAACTCTTCCGACATAACCTGACGAAGCCTTTCATCAGGACATTCCAAAAACCATACCTCTTCAGCCACGCCCCTATTTAAAACTGCCTCCCCTTCAGCATAAGTCATTATTTCACTTCTGATTGGTCGTAACTCATCATTAATGAGTATCCACTCTGCCTCCAGTAAAAGCCAGGTCTCTTTATGTAGTTCCTTCACTCTATTAATCTCTGTCCTCATCTCTTCTTTTACCTGAGGTTTCTCTGAAGACTTGCATCTCTTTGCATTATAAAGTCTTGCCCTAATGTTGGTGATATCAGTTGTAATGTTGTCCTTAAATTGAGACCAGCTCTTCTGGAGTTCAGTAAAGTCCTTAAGTATAACGTTATATTCGTTGAGTAGCTGGGAATGATTGAGGATTCTTATGGTTAGCCATTCGTCTAATTCATTGCTAAGACTGTCAGCCTAACAATAATAATAATAACAATAAAAATAACAACAACAACAACAACAACAATAATAATAATAATAATGTTCTGTTTTGTTTTTTTGGGGTTTTGTTTCTCTTTTGTCCTTCCTATTGTGTTTGCCTTCGTAATAATAATTAATAATAATAATAATAATAATAATGACAATAATAAACTATTATGCAAAAATTAGTCATAAATAGTCTTTTAATAAAAGCTCACATTTTCCTTCAATTTTTTCCATGATTTGATCCATGCTTGACGGTGTTTTTCTAAAACCAAAGCTGCCTTCCTGTCGCTCCCTCTCCTGGCCAATCTCCTCACACGGGCTGACTGCTCCTTGCTCTCTCCCTTCTTGTCTCTGATAATGGAGAGCAGTTCATCGTAATTGACTTCACTGTATTTCTTTGGATGTCTTGAGCCACACACAAATGAATGAACCAAAGAATCTTTATCTACATTATTATATCAGAAATAAAAATTACAATAGTTTATCATAAAATTATCGGCTCTCACTCTTTTCCTGGGAAAGGTCCATAGGTAGAGCTTTCTCTCTGTGCTTTGCTACCATTTTCCTCCAGTCTCTCCCGCTCATTATTCTCCTGTCTGTGTTTAGCTTCTTTTCTTGATCGAAATTGCCGCCATTGCCCGCCAAAACTCATTTACCAAGTTGGAAAGGGTTAAAGTTTTTGGGGGTGTGCCTAAATTGAAGTGGCATGTAAATTTTTTAGGCATGTACAGTTTTACTCAATTATCCCAATACTGTGATCCTTGATAAGATAAAAGGTATGAATTTCTATTAAGTCTCATTGTGTTTGATTGTTAGGATTGCCCATCTACAATGGTATACTCTGGGATCATAGAGAGACACCACATCATCCCATTGATGAGAATGGCAAGATGCTCTATCAAGAGATTATTTATTCTTCTTATTGTGATTGTGGTACTGTTATTCATTACATGCTTCTCTATGCTGGGCCAATCGCCGAGTGGTCGTGCTGGAGTGTCTGATAAGGCACCTCTGAGGGCGCCTAAAATTATTTCGAACCCTCAAGGACAGAAACCGATATTCCGTTATAAGCTTGAACGGGAACTGGAGAAACTGATGGGGCAAAGACTAACACCTAATAATGGTATTTTAACGATAGATGATGAATTAACTCATGCTAAAATATTTTAATATAGTTATTACTAGTGTTGATAATAATATTAAAATAATAATAATAATAATAATAATAATGATAAATAATAATAGATGTTTTACATTTAATTTAACTACTGTAGTTCTTTTGTTGTTATTATTATTATTATTATCATTATTATTATTAGTATTATTAGTATTTTAATTTTTATAGATGCAGAAAGAGCAGAGGAGAAGAGAGGTTATGCATTAAACGGATTCAACCAGTTTCGCAGCGACAGGTTACCATTAGACAGGGAGGTTCCTGACACTAGAGAACCAAAGTGAGATTCATGTTTAAAATTTGGCCAGTGATGTACAAGGGGTTTTCATCAAAATTGGCTAGGAGAGAATTCTTCATTTTTATTACATTTTCTTATGCATGTACATGTACTTGTGTTCAGGTTTTCCCATAGAGAATGCTGCATGTACACGTAAGTGAGCTAAACTACAGTAGTACATAGCATTTGGAGCATCTTTAAAAATTCATTAAAAATCTAATTTTGATGGAAATCAGCTCAAACTTTCTATGCAGCATAAGTACATGTATGTGTATTAGAAAAAAATATTTAAAATAGATTTTTTTCCTTTTCAATTTTGGCATAATTCAGCCAAAACCACTGTACTATAGTACAGGGAGTTTGACCAGATTTTTGAGCAATTTTGAAAGTTTATAAAAACATAATTTTGATTAGAATCAGTTCAAACTTTCTACGCATCATAACAACATGTATGTGTATTAGAAAAATATATTAAAATGGAGAATTCTTTTCTTTTAAATTTTGGCGATACCAGGTACTTAGTTTAAGACCTTGTACAGGGACTTTGACCTGATTCTTGAACGACAAGAAGCTACATAAGCGCTATACCAAAATCCTATGAAAAAATTCTGCTTATGTTCTGTAAAAAATCTGAATTGATTCTGATGATAAATGAACTTTTGAAGTTGCTCTGAAATCTGGTCAAAGACCCTGTACAAGGTATTTTGTCAAAAATTCAAAAATTGCTAGGCAAAAATTCTGTATTTTTTATACATGTATATTTTGTAGTTTTATGTCTCCCCATTCATTGTAGATGTCTTTCAAAGCACTATCCATCTCAGCTTCCCTCAACTTCTGTCATAATAATATTCCACAATGAAGCATATTCAGCTCTCCTCCGGACTGTCACTAGCGTCCTAAACAGGTCCCCTCCTCATCTTCTCCACGAGATTGTACTGGTCGATGATAAAAGTGATCATAGTCAGTGACAGCATATCTTTTCTATGCTTCTCTGCTCCACACTTTCTCTTACATGCTTTGTATTATTGTGTTAGCTATCTTTTCTTCTCCTTTGTACTTATCAAAAATTTTATAACCTTATTGTTCTCAATTTTGGATCTCTCTCTCTTCCCCCCCCTCTCTCTCTCTCTCCCTCTCCCTCTCTCTCTCCCTCCCTCCCCTCTCATTAGCTGACTTAGGCGTAAAACTGGACAATTTCACTAAACTGGAGCCAAAAATAAAAATTCACCGTCACTCAAAGAGGGAGGGTCTGATCAGGGCCCGTATGACGGGGGCAAAAGCTGCCAGTGGGGAGGTCCTCCTTTTCCTCGACTCTCACTGTGAGGTTAATCTGGGTTGGCTAGAGCCGCTTCTAGAGAGAATAGCTATAAACAGGTCAAACGTTGTCTGTCCTGTCATTGACGTCATTTCACTCGACAAACTCATGTATTCCACTATCCGTGGGCCGCCCGGCGTTAGGGGAGGCTTTAATTGGAATCTTCAGTTCAAATGGAAGAAGATTCCAGAGTACGAGCAAAAGAGGCGTGGTCACGACGAGACGAGAGAGGTCTATTCGCCGACAATGGCTGGGGGTTTGTTTGCTATCGATCGGAGCTATTTCTTTGAGATTGGAGCGTATGACATGGGAATGGACATATGGGGCGGAGAAAATCTGGAAATATCATTTCGGGTATGGCATGCAAATGAAGTGTAGTTTATCCTTTGTATGTGTATGATGTACAGTACTGCTACTACTATATTTGGATATGTGATGGTTATTATTTATTTATTACATGTACATGTAGATGTGCATGTATAGAATAACCTATTGATTTGACACTATAGGATTTAATCATACATCATACTGTGTGTAAAGTGCATGACTCAATCTCGTGTGCATGTAAGTATCCTGAGGGTTTTCCACAGGATTTTTGCATGACAAAACAGACAGACAGGGGCACTTGTCCTTTATGTAGTACTTCTAGACATCTTTCATTATCTTTTTAATAATGTTTAATTTAAAAATAAAATATTAATTGTAATCAATCCAGGGCCTTGCAGTCCTTCCAAAAATTCTTATAACAGGTAAGTTTCCTTTCAGTATTATAAGGCAGGTAGCTAGTCTTGCTGTTCTTAAATACCAGGCCAACTATGTGAGACTATTGTGGGTTGCCCTGTTGCTATGATAATGTACATGTAATATTAACATAGCAACAGGGCAACCCACAATTGCCTCAAATAGTTTTCCTAGTATATAAAGGTTGGTACTGGTATGGGATCAAGTGATTACTGTTTTGCGTTTTCAAATTTTTGGAAGGGCTTAATGCCCTGTGCTGAGCTTTTGTCAGGCCATTTTAATGATTTTCTAAAGTTTTCAAAAATTGCTATGAGAGACTTTGTATCTACATGTATAGGAATACTACAACTTTAATAATTTATGTAATGTATATATTTAAATATTTAAGAACTTGTTTGTGACTGGTTATATAACAATAGGCTCATTATTAATTAAAAACAAATAACTGTTCATGCATATTATTGTATAGCATTAAAATATTGAGTGGTCAGATATGACTTTATTTATCCCTTAGACAACTAGGTTAGGGTAACTGCCTGATGCATAAAAATAGCTTAGGTACACGTACTGAGTATAATGAATGTTAGTTATTGTTAGAAGTGTCTCTTTGTATACAGCTCTTGTTAGCTAAACTGATTGAAAGTGTATTTAGGGTCACATTGTCAGCATAATTAATGTTCGGTATGTACATGTACATGTATTTCTAATCCACCTTTAGTTTGTTACTCTTCCTTGCATATTATGAAATCTGTCAACTTGTAATGCCGATCATTCCTATTTTAAAAATTTTAAACATTGTCTGTTTCTCTGACCCATCTTTCTCCCTTAGATATGGATGTGTGGTGGAAAGCTAGAGCTCATTCCTTGCTCGAGAGTCGGTCACATATTCAGAAAGTCCCAGCCCTATTCTTTCCCAGGGGGAGTGGACACGATCCTCATTCGTAACAACATGCGTCTAGCAGAAGTCTGGATGGACGAGTATAAGGAACACTATTATGCAAAGAGACCTAGCATCCGCTCGAGGAGTTATGGGGACATCAGTGAGAGACTTGAGCTGAGAAAAAAGTTACACTGCAAGTCGTTTCGCTGGTACATGGAGAATGTTTATTCAGAGATGCCGTTGCCGCTAGAGAATTTACGCTATGGAGGCTATGTGAGTAGTTGGAGGGGATTAATTAAGTGTGTGGGTGTACTGCTGTAGTGCCTGACTGTT